AGCTGACCCCGCCAGATGCATATCCAACCTCCTCTTGAAGACCCCCAGGGTAGGGGAGAGCACCACCTCCCTTGGGAGCCCGTTCCAGACCTTGGCCACTCGAACTGTGAAGAAGTTCTTCCCAATGTCCAGTCTAAATCTGCTCTCTGCTAGCTTGTGGCCATTACTTCTTGTAACCCCCAGGGGCGCCTTGGTGAATAAAACCTCACCAATTCCCTTCTGTGCCCCCGTGATGAACTTATAGGCAGCCACAAGGTCGCCTCTCAACCTTCTCTTGCGGAGCCTATAAGTATATAAGGGGTGTTCATCAGGATCTAGGGGAACGTCTGTTCACTAGAGCGCCACAAGGGATGACAAGGTCAAATGGTCACAAACTCCTCCAAGACCGTTTCAGGCTGGACATAAGAAAGAACTTCTTTACTGTCCAAGCCCCCAAGGCCTGGAGCAGACTGCCACCAGAGGTGGTGCAAGCACCTACTCTGGACTCCTTTAAGAGACATTTGGACGTTTATATTGCTGAGATTCTGTGAACCCAACTGACTTCCTGCCCCTGGGGCAGGGGGGCTGGACTCGATGATCTTCCGAGATCCCTCCAGCCCTAATGTCTATGTACTCTATTAAAAGATTTTACTTCTAGTAATTTAATTGAAATCATGTGTGTTGGCTTTCTTTACATAGGTCTCAGCATGATGAAAAGATGACCGCATTTTTCAGCCACAATTTCAGTGAAGATAGATGGCGCAAAGCAGCTTTGAAAAATGCTTTTGCATTGTTGGGAAAACAACGCTTTGAACAGTCTGCTGCATTTTTCTTATTAGCAGGTTCACTGAAAGATGCCATTGAGGTACTTGTTTAAAAATATGAAGTACTATGGAATTTCAGAATTAATGTTAGATTTATGCTCTCAAAACATACTTATAAACAGGGATCCTGGTTTTCTCATTTAAAAATTGCAAATTCTCTGATAGAAGTGTTAAAATCTCTGATTAAAACCCCCAAATTTTCCATTTTTCCATGATTAAAATGAAATGCTACTAAATATATATAATGCAAAAAAAAAAAACAGGTTTTCTTTGAAATGCCACATATATAGAGTGCTGTTTCAAAGGAGAAAATCTGTGTATTTTTTTTTTAATAATACAATTCTGCAAATCTTTCAGTGCAAAAAAAGCCTAGTGCTAACTAGAGGTGAACTGATACATCAGTCTATATTGTGTCGGCACCAGTACAAGGAAAATTGACATTATCGGCAATTGTCGTTTTTTGGCTGATGTGGTCAATAATGCCACTGATAAATGCCATGTGCATGCACATAGCCACAGCAATCGTGAAGCCAGCCCAGCAGCTTGGAGAGCAGCATCCAGCTAGTAAGTCTGTTGGGGTGAAGGGGCAGAGGGGAGGGAACAGATGTGGGGGTGGAAAATCAAGGCTTCCATGGTGAGGGAGGGAGTGGAGTTGGGGTCAGGGGCAGACACTTCCCAGCCAGGGCAGGGTGTGGGACAGAGCTGCAGGTGGCTCATTCAGGGGGCACGGGGAGGGAGGGGAGGGCGGCTTCTGCGGCTGTGCGCACCCCCAGGTCAGGTATAGCTGGCATGTGGCCCCCAGATCTGCACATAGGGCAAGGGCAGGCTGCTGCTGTAGGCTGGGACTGGGGGCTATGCCAGGCTCTTCCTAGCAGGGGGTGGGGGCTGGGCTGGGGCTGCGCTTGGGTTGGGTGGCAGCAGCTCTGGGACTGGGGCTACGGGAGCTCAGCCATGGCCCAGCTCCTTCCAAACTGCCAGAAAGAACCCGACACAGCCCCTGGCCCCAGCCTGCAATGGCAGCCCACCCTTGCCCCAGGCACAGATCTGGGGGGCACACACCCCTTATGCCTGCCCTAGGGGTGTGCGCACTGGTGGGAGCCGCTGCCCCCCTGGATGAGCCACTTACAGCTCCATCCTGCAACCCACCCTAGCTGGGCAGCACCTGCCCCAGCCCCACTCCCTCCCTCCCTTGATCTGCCCCAAGCCCCTTCCCTCCCCTCTACCCCTTCACCCCAACAGACTTACCAGCCAGACACTGCTTTCCAAGCTGGTGGGCTGCATATCAGCAATCAGATCAGTATCGGCCAATATTGCTCACTAATAATTGGCCATCAGAATCGGCCCCAAAAATCTTTATATGTGCACCCCTAATGCTAACACTTAAAGCTTGTATGTATTCCTTTTAAAAGCCTTTATATATATTAGTCCATTGATACATGACTACACCAAACAGAATTTCTTTTATTTATACATTTCTTTTATAAAATATTTCTTTTATTTCATATATTCACTTGTATTTTAGGAGAGTTATGCTTTCCAAATTCAGCATCTTGCATTTCATACTTTGTACTGCAGGTGTGCCTTGAAAAAATGGAAGACATTCAGCTGGCAATGGTTATTGCTCGTTTATATGAATCAGAATTTGAGACCTCTTTCACTTACACATCCATTCTTTATGAAAAGATTTTGGGGTGTCAGAAAGATGGAACTGGATTCAGCTGTCCTAAATTGCATCCTGATCCCTTTCTGCGAAGTATCGCATATTGGATAATGAAAGATTACACTAGAGCACTGGATACTCTATTGGAACACACACCTAAGGAAGATGATGAAAATCCAGGTAGAAAAAATATCAATCTTTTTCTTTTTTTCAAAATATATTAGCATTAGAGCATTAAGTATGTAAATGCAAATTTTATATATGATTGGCATTTTGACATTAAAAGCATACACCTAAATGTAAAATAATGAAATGTCAGCAAAATATTGTTACAGTAGCTGCTATTGTAGGTGTAATTCAGTTGCATAATAAATCTCAATTAGAAACCTCTATAAAGGATTTCAGCAAATGAAAACTAATATTTTTTATTATCCATTTAGTTCTGATCTGATTTTATCCATGGGTAAAATGGCTACAGCATACTGTTGCCATGGATTTGGTATTAAAATACAGTTACCCCCTCTTTACAAGTACTTCTTGTTAAAACTCAGGGGTGAGCTGTTCCTTGGTTCTTTCTTTGTGGGTGATTACTTTTTTCACAAAAGTGGCCAACTACACTTCTCTCAGAGTGCACTCCCACAGTTCACTTGCCCTTTTGACTGCCAAATTGCAATCCCACTGTAGTATCTAATACATTACCTCCATCAGGTAGGGCTGGGTTATAGCCTCTACCACAGAGGCTTCTCAAATGCAGCAGAAAGAATAGAAAGAAAAGGGTTAAAAATAATAAAAGACTAAACAAAAGTTGCCATATCTCATCTTAACTTTTCCCTAATCAGCATAAGAAGGTCCACTTGAGCTGGATACTCCCCTTCACATATTGTATTAAGTAACATTTGGAGTCAAGGTTGCCTCTTAAAACGTGCTCCCTGTCCATGGGACTGGTTAGCCTCCAGTAACTTAGGGTATGTCTGCACAGTACACTTGTTCTGTGTATGATACCCAACCTCTATGGCTAGGGACAGGCATTCAAAAAGCCTGAGCCTGAATTGATTCAATCTTTGCAGGTTAGTCTAACCTGGCTAGGCTGAACTAGTTTGAAACTGGACAGACGTTCTCTCTGGACTGACGAAATGCAGACACGTGCCTGCAGTGGCTCAGGCTAGAAGCCAGGGGGTGGTGGAGCAGCCCTCCCTCCCCTTCTGCAGGGAGCTGAGCTGAAGGGGGCGTGGTCAGGCCCTGGCAGGACTCTCTCAGACTCTCTCATTAGGCGTGTCTGCCTCCATAGTCGCAGGCTTTGCCCCATTGGCTGCTCAGGGGGTAGGAGTGTTGCTAGCCCCATGCTAGCACTCTGACACAAGGGAAGGTGTGCAATGCATGTATCTGTTGATGATATGGAGCTTTTCAATCTCCCTCCCTGCTTCATCATACTTTCTGCAGAAAACTGACAGGCGAGCAAGCCACTGAAGGTGGGGGTGTGGAGAAGGGGGGCTGATAACAGTCTTTATCACCTGATTAGCAAAACAGTAGCCTCTCTCCACATTACTTCAAACTTCTTAGAAAGGCTTACTGGCTGCTCTGTTGATTAGCTCCAAAAGCCCTAAGCCATCAATGTTCTGTCTGCCCCAGTGAAATTGGAGAGAGACCCACACACAGACACCTCTCAGCATTAGCTAGCATACTATGTGCTGGCTACAGTCCTTGCTGTGGCAGAGGAGGAAGGGATCTATGCTTAAGCAGCAAGTAGTGAGAGTGGGGCACGGGGAAGCCAGTAGACCCTGCTGTGCCTGCAAATCTGTGCCAAGTTCCAGCCAGGGAGCAGAGAGCCCCGCCCAGCCCAGCCCAGAGAGCATGCCAGGATGCTGGGGGACTCTGATTTAACTTAAATCAGCAAGGGGTCTGGGACAGACATGGCATAAACAAATTTGAGCCAAATCAGTTAAGTATGATACTACATTCAACCAGGTTTATCTCAAACCAGTTTCAGCCATTTTCAAACTAGTTTCTATGCACTGAACATCTATTCTGTTACAGGTTTAAACCATTTTTTGATCACTTAAACCAGTTTATGTGTAATGTCTGTCCCTAGCCTATGTGAATGAGATGGCTCAGGTACCAGAGACAATTTAGCAGGATTAGCATGGCATCTGATTGACCCTGCTTCTCAGAAGAACCAGTTAGCCTAGGCAGAATGCTGCATAATGCATCTATACTTTTTCTAGTTCCAAAGATGGGTTATTCAGAGCTAGCTCAGATATCTCTGAACAGCACTGCATTGTCACCTTTACACGAGCTTCAGAACATTAAATATATTACTTCTTGATGCATCTTTAAGGAGGGTGTTTCATCACCCATATCTCAACAGTTATCCACACAGGATAACTCTCACCTGTCCTCTGCTAACTCCAGTGGTATGACAGAGCCAGCTTTCCCTGCCATGGGGGTAGTCTCCAATTCACTGGCCAAGACCAGCTTTCTTCTCGATTTAACTTATCGGAATTTCATAAAGTAGAAGCAACAGAGGCTGGTATCTCAAAGCATCTTTCTAATCAGTCATTTTGAATTATCACTTTTCTTCTAGCAAATGAGTGATTACGTATTGTTTTTGCAATTACATGCTGAACTGTTTCTAGACTTCCAGATTTCTGTGTAAGATTGTCAAAAAGCGTTGCAAAAAAGTTTTAAAAAACCGCAACTAAAGATGCGTTTCAGCAGATACTGTATTTTTCTAATTCCTCCAGTTATTGTCAAGTCATGCAATCCTGTGGTGTTCAGTTTCTACAACTATCTTCGGACCCATCCTCTGCTCATCCGAAGATATTTTAGCTCACCCGAAGGAACTCTAGCTACATTAGGTCTAAAAACTGAGAAAAGTTTTGTTGATAAGATTAATCTTATAGAGAGAAAATTATTCTTCACTACTGCAAATGCACATTTTAAAGTTGGATGCCCTGTTTTAGCTCTTGAAGTTCTTTCCAAAATTCCAAAAGTAAGAATAAAGCTCATTATTTCTACAACGGAAGATAAATCCAGTCCAAGTCCTACCAGAAAAAATGGGGTGGCAGAGGCCATGAGTGATGTTGCTAAAACTAGTGATATAGCCTGGTCAGCATCATCTGCTTTGGAGAGTAGTACTGACCCTTCAGCACAATTTGACTGGAGTCAACCAGCATTAAAACTGGATGATGAGCCTCTTACTTTTGATTGGGGAGGAGACAAGGATGATTCAGAGGAAGAAGAATGTGATGATGGCTTACTAATGAAAGGTTCAAAATTGAAATCTGAAAATGGAAAAGATGAGAACAGTTCAGATACTAATATACTACAGACACCTCAAGAGGAGGACTCTGATACAGGCAACACTGAGGTTGATGTCATTGCTGAACAGCTGAAGTTCAGAGCCTGTTTGAAGATCCTAATGACTGAACTTAGGACTTTGGCTACCGGTTATGAAGTAGATGGAGGGAAGCTCAGATTTCAGCTGTACAATTGGCTTGAAAAAGAAATTGCTGCTATGCATGAAATATGTAACCATGACGCAGGTGGCAAAGACTACTGTAAAACATATACCAGAGTTGATAGCGACCTACTTGATCATGAAGACGTTGTAGATAAACCAGATATCGGTTCATATGAGCGGCACCAGATAGAAAGACGCAGGTTGCAGGCAAAAAGGGAGCATGCTGAAAGACGGAAGTGGTGGCTGCAAAAGAATCAAGCACTTCTCAGAGTTTTTCTAAGTTACTGTAGCCTTCATGGGGCACAAGGTGGTGGCCTTGCTTCTGTAAGAATGGAGCTAAAATTTTTGCTGCAAGAGTCCCAACAGGTAAGACAATCTGTTAAATGGATTTCCTTGCATTTTGTTAGTCTTTTGCTATGAATTAGAAATATTAGTAATCTCGCAGTTACATTACTTCAGGCTGTGGGTTTTGTCAACTTGCTCTCACCTGATAAAATCGGGCCTAGATAGCATGTAGATTGCATAATATGTAGGTGCCACAGTCAGTCAGAGTGATTGGTGAATCAACATGGCACTTGTCCCTCATAGGCTGTACAGTTCTAACTCTTCACATGGACTTGGGGCAGCCTGGTAGTCTTGAGATGCTAGTTTTGCCTAAAGCTTCAATCTGGAACCTTGAATTGAAGCATGGAATTTAAGTTAGGTTCTAGTGTTCCAGCCAAATCCCCGTTTTAGTAATTCTGTTCTGTTTCCCTGTATTAATCAAACTAAACTTGGGCAAGATCCAATTTCCTAACTTTTGGAAATGGTGCCAGGAGACCTTACATGAGTGGGCTCTGATTTTAAGTGTTATTGTGAAGGCATCCATTCAAATAATATAGTACCCCATTATATCGTCATGGGGCATTGTCTGTATACTATTCTAGATAAAATGTCCCACAAATAAAGCTTGGAACTATAAGACCTGGATTCTGTTTGCTGCTCTGGAAGACCCTATATGATGCTGGCAGGTCTTTTAACTTCTTTTGTCTCAAGTTTGCCATTATTAAAGCAAAAATAACACTTGGCAAATAAGTGCTGCAGAGGTCAGTATATTGGTTATAAGATATCCTGAGATTGTCAAATGGCAGCTGTTATATATGTGCACATTTTAGTTACTACTCAGTGGCCTGAGCTTAATTATAAAAATAATATCTCAGCTCATTTTAGTGCTACTGTTTTTATTACTGGTGTTATTTTGTATTAAATAATTCCCACACTCACGGTTTAGGACCAATGTTCTTATCTATCTGCTATGAGTCAAATACATTGCAGACAATTTGAGTGTATAATAAAATGATATATATGGAGCCAAATCCTGCATCCTGGATGGCAGTCGGAGCCTTGGCCTCTGATTAAAATGACCATACAATCCTGTCTACATTATATAGAAAAGACATAGAGGAAAATTAACAGTTAAATTAAGGTTTAAAATGAGTGCTCTGTTCCCACTCTCAGCTAAGTGATCATCTTCCATACTGCATTTTCTTTTAAACAGGAAACAACAGTAAAGCAGCTCCAGTCGCCACTACCATTACCAACAACACTACCACTCCTTTCAGCAAGCATTGCTTCAACCAAAACTGTGATAGCAAATCCCGTGCTGTACTTAAATAATCACATCCATGACATTCTTTACACTATTGTGCAGATGAAATCTCCACCACATCCTAATGTTGAAGATGTGAAGGTAATGGCAAAAGAAATGATCTCTAAATACAAAATGTGATCTCATAGCTATTATTTATATATAAGGAGATGGGATGCAAAATAACATGGTGTATTGATTTATGCTTCTGGTAATGTTCCGCCTGTAGCCTCGGTAAATGGCTGCTATTTTTACCTTATCTGTCACTAGCCAACTGTTGCCACTTAGCTATTTCCCTCCCAATCCCATTCATCCATGAATGTCAAAGAATCTCAGCCCTTGAGGCAGTCAGCATGATTGACCAGAAATGTAGGTATAAGTCCTGAGCCAGATCCTCCACTGATGCAAATTGCTGTAAGTCTGTTGATTTTTAGAAAGTTATGTTGGCTTACACTGTCTGAAAACTTGGCCGCGTGTTTTGGAATGAATAATTGCTGAAGCCAAAAGCAGGATATTCAGAGAACATGAAGATAGATCAGAAAATCTAAGGAGTTTATTAGTCCATGAAATGGTTTACTGCTAACTTAATAGAAAGTCCTCAAATTATTATCCTGCAGATTTTAATTTAGTATCCATAGTTAAAGAAGAAAAATCTGGAAAATGAAACTTATTCTCAAACTGCTGAAAGTCAAATTAAAAATATTCTTTCTGGCACTTCCAATGAGTGCCTTGTATTTAACTTTCCTCTCCATCCTATTCTTCTTTCTCTATATATTAGCGTCTATTTCCATTTCTTCCTTTTAGCTTTACACCTCAGCAAGGCACTCTTTTCTCCTTACAACTGTGATATACATATTTGGATATTTGGATTTGCATTTTATGTCAAAACTGTATTTGAACAATAACATTTTTTTCTAATACAAACCAACAACTCAAATAATACAGTACTTATTCTAAGTACTGAAAAAGAGAGAGAATGGGACAGGAGATAAAAATTGTTAAGTTTCAGGCAGCATGAAGCTGCCATTTCCTTGTCTTTTTAAACTTCATATTTTTCCTTAGTGTTTTGACTGAATATAATGAAAAGCTGAAGTATTGTCCTTGTTGCTGGCAGACCATTAGAAAATTATAAGCACAATAATGATTTAGAGAAGGAAGATTATGGTTGTGAAAGAGATGTATATGTATGGATGGTTATTACGAAATACCCATGTGATGATTATGCAGCTCTTTACGTTCTTGGCTAACCATCATTATTTGCCAGTGAGTGTATATTGAATTGCTCCACAGATACTGAGAAATAATGAATATTCTGTAGCTGAAATGCCAAGAACAAAATGAGAATATGCAGTCAATTTAATATTATGAACATTTCTAGTTGTTCACTCCATTGGTGGTGACAGGGTGTTTTTTTTGGGGTGGGGAGGGGAGTTAGTATAATTTATGTTATACTGATATCTTATATAATTGGAATATCTCTTTTAAGCACCTTCACCTTAGAGGAAGAATTTTGATTGTAGTATTACATCTAATAGAAATCCATGTGTAGCTCAACTGTAATATAGCTAAAACAATTGAGATAGGATTTTCAAAATGCGATACTTTAAAAATAAAATAAATACCTTGTTTAATGATTGCTTTTCAATTGCAGTGCAAAACTACTTAAGGTACTGCATTTCTGCCTAATATGCCGACTTCCACATGAGTCAGTCCTCCTTAATATTTTCATTCTGATTTTGAGAGAAAAATGTCATTCTATACAGTCCTTTGAATAAAACCTAATGGTCACTGGTTTTCTTTTAGGTGTATACACTTCATTCATTAGCAGCTTCACTTTCTGCCTCTATTTATCAAGCACTGTGTGACAGTCATAGTTACAGGTAAAAACAGAACTTCTCTAACACTTCCATGTTTGAAATATATTGTGTTTGGGGGGGTTATATTTAAAACTAAGCTTTCAAAATGTAAATTCTTTGGGCATATATTTAAAGAAAATAGATTAAGCATGTGTAGACTTTTACATATTGTTACTTCCATATGTAATCGAAGGTGTAGGACTTTATGTGCCTATGTATAGGTAATACAATTAATGTTCTAAAAAGAAACTAGGGTTGTGAATAAAGCTACTGTTACTGACAGCTTATGAAGGTATACAGACAATTTATGAATTTTTGCTTCTGAGTTCACCTTTTAAAGGTGGCTGGACACTAAGAAACAAGGAGTCAACCCTGATATTGGTTTTATGGCACATTATAACCTCCCTGTTTTCTGAATTCTTCCCACACATGAAAGTTGAAAACGACCCTCTCCTCCCTTTTGATAGACCTTGATCTAGCTTCTTTTTTCTGCAAAATGTTTGTCTGCTATCTATGGAAATTTTTCCCCCCTTCATTTTCCAGCTGTTTTTTACTATGCTGAGCTAGCTTTTACTTCTCAGACCTGAAGAAAAATCTCTTACATTTGAAAGCTTGTCTAACTCTAATCCCAATTATGCATTTGTTCCAATAAAAAATATTACCCTAAGAAATCCTTTCCTTAAAATGAAAGATAAAAATGAAAAAGAAACTTACCATAATAAGTAGGTACTTTATTACAAGAATATTTGAAAATCCTTTTTAATGAGAAAAAATGGATTTATATTTAGCAGTCAAACAGAGACCAATCAGTTTACGGGAATGGTTTATCAAGGGCTGCTTTTGAGTGATCGACGCAGGCTGAGGACAGAAAGCATTGAAGAGCATGCAACTCCGAATTCATCTCCTGCTCAGTGGCCTGGTGAGAAAAGCTAAAGGTTATTTTAAACAACATCATTTCACTCCATTTTTCAAATTTCATCATTACTACGTACCTTATTTACCCAATTCCAAGATTACTTTAAATTTAATACCCCTTAATAATTAAATTCTATACATAGAAAAATGTATATTTCTTTTTTTATAATTTTCCATTGGATAGAATCTAATTATTGGAGGGCCATCTCAAATTCATTCCCTGCCCCCCTCCCCATCCTACCCCCACTGCAGCAGGGAAAGCAGTGGCAGGGGAGAAAGCAGCAGCAAGGAGGCAGGCAATTTGGGGGGAGTCAAGTCACCTGACCCCTTCCTCTTGCCCCCTGCACCTTGCTACCTGGTGCCCATCCACACCCTCTGCCCCCATGGTGATTGCACCCCCCCCACCCCCGACTGCCTGCTACCCTGTTGAGTCTCTCCCCCTCCTCCCTGTGCCTGTGCCCCCGGCACCTGCCTCCCCACTTCCCCCCTCTTGCTTGCCTCCTCCCCACCTATGACATACTTATCTCCCCCTCCCAATGCTTTTTATCCTCAGTTGTGGCTTCACCCCTGCTCCAGCCTGAAGCATCGAGCACATGGTAGCTCCAGCCTCAACCCAGCAAGGCACCAGTCGTTGCAGCAGCAGCTTCAACTCAGCCCAACCTGAATCAAAGCCAAAGCTACTGCCACCACCATTGCATCTACCTGTCTGAGCAGGGGCTGGAGCCACCACATGTTCCATGCCCCTAGCCAAAGCAGGGCCAGAGCCACAGCTGAGGGTAAACAGGGGCAGGGAAGACAGTAGGGTGAGGGAGGCAGGAGGTGCAGAGGCAGTGGGGTGCAGACAGGGGGGCAGGGGCTGGGGCTCCCACTGTGAGCCTGGGTCTGGCCTGGACCCAGAGCCAGAGCCACAGCTGCCACTTGCCCCACCACCTTGTACTCAAATCCAAGACAAGCTCCCCCCCATATTGAATGTGGAGAATAAACCTCATCCTGGATCCAAGTAAATATGGAAATCTGTTTCTCATTTCACATTTATTATTCTCCTATGACTTAACTTGCAGTGACGTGGTACATTCTATTAGTACACTAGGCCTATTGTTCCAGCCAAAGAATCTCAATAGCATATGGTAGTCAGCCAAAGAATTAGATATTGGGAGAAATGGTTTCCTTATAACAGACATTATTTGGCATTTAGGCCCTAAACACTTAAGTACATTTTTGTTCACATTTTGAAACAAAAAGATGTTTCATGCACCTTAGATGTCAACTTTGAGGGGCTGGTCAAGATCCTCAACATAAATGTTGTAACCTTAGGGGTTATTGCCTGAAAATTACTTTTCCCTCAAATGTCATGTAATTCTACCATGGCCTCCTCCAGCTCCATGTGTATATTTTATAAAAGTTGCATAGGCGTTTCCATTCAGCCAATTTTAATTTGTGTACTAACATTAATATAGCATTTTCATACAACACTAGAACTACTCATCCAATTCATGAGTTAAGAGGGCAAAGTAGGGGTGCACCAATAAAGATTTTCTTGGCCAATACCAACACTGATTATTAACCAGCCATATTGGCCGATACTGATCCCATAACCAATTTGGTTGCATATGACACCAGAGACTGCTGGAGCTCACCAAAAAAAAAAAAGGTTTATTTAGGTCAGTACTTTAAAATGTACTGACCTAAATAAACCTTTTTTTCTTTTCATTTGTTTTTGGTGCCTTCCAGCTATCAGTGCCCCAGCACTTAAAAATGGCGGTGTGGGTGCTTAAACTAAAGCTTGTTGAATGAGCTTTAGTCCAAGTGCTGCTGCCACCATTTTTAAGCTTGGAGACACTTAAGTGGGCAGAGCCGAGTGGGCTGAGGGTGGATGCAAGCTTCCCTCTGTGGGCTCAGGGCTCTCTGCTCTACTGCCTTTGCCCTGGGAGCCCCATGCCAGCTGCGCTTCTCCTGCCTGCCTGGCAGTGAGAGGCACAATTCGCCATCCCCATAGCTGCCAAGCAGGCAGGGGATGTGCAGCTGGTGCGGGGCTCCCAAGGGAAAGGCAGCAGAGCAGAGAGCCCTGACTCCACAGTGAGCAGCCCGGATCTGCCCCATGCACAAATCTAGGGGGCACATGCCCCCCTCCATGTATCTACCAGGGGGTGCATGCAGTGGCAGGGAGCTGCCCCTCACAGCTGGATAAGCTTGTGACTCCATCCCACTCCCTGCCCTGGCCCTGGATCCCATGCACAGCCCTGGCTGGCCAGTGCCCCAGCTCCTGCCCCACTGACTCCTTCACTGTGGGGGCCTTGAAGTGCCCCCCCCCCCACCTCTTCCCTCCCCCACACCCTTTCCTCTCCATAGACTTACGTGCAGGGAGCTGCTCTCCACACTGCTTGGCTGTTTTCTTGGCCATGTGAATGCATGTGGCCATGGACATGCACACAGTGCCCCCTGCGTCTTGCTCCTGGCAGCCCCAAGCAGGACCCTTGCAGGCTAGAATGCTGCCCACCTGCATGGGGAAACCCACCATGTCCTGAGGGAACCCAAGCATCTGGGGGCCCTAGCCAGATGGCATAATTAATTATATTTATTGGGGAACATTATTGGTTACAGTGGCCAAAAAAAGTCCATAGCTGATAATGTAAATTGCCCTTTTATCAGTGGTGATCTGATATGCAACTGATATATCAGTGCACCTCTAAAGCAAAAAGGGGAACTTTCTGGACAAGTCTGAACTGCCTTTACAGGATGAAAGACACGGGGCCAAAAGTAGCAGGTAGGCGGACAGCAGTTTCAAAAAGGAAACTATAAGAAAACACATTTTAAAATGTGTTAAGAATGGTATGATAATACTTTGATCCAAACTATGTCCAAGTGGCTGGATAATGATTTTGTTAGCATGAAACACATATAAGAAAAATATTGACTTTAATTTTCCTTACTTCTGTAACCTTATTTAAATTAGAACTTTTCTCCTCTTTCTTGCAGGTGTGAGCTCACTTATAAATCTCTTAAATTCAGCCCAGGATGAGGACCAACCAAAGCTAAACATCTTACTTTGTGAAGCTGTTGTAGCTGTCTATTTAAGTCTCCTGATACATGCCCTTGCTACTAATTCTTGCAATGAACTATTTCGACTAGCAGCCCATCCCCTAAACAGTCGAATGTGGGCTGCTGTCTTTGGAGGAGGAGTGAAACTTGTTGTGAAACCTCGAAGACAATCAGAAAATATTCCAGGTATGTTATTTGGGTTCCTTAAACTTTATAATGATCACATGCACTTTTGTAATTTTAGAAAAAGAGATGTTCAAATTCTCTTTTTATTTTATTTTTTTAAGAGTCCAAGTACATTGTTTAAAAATGACTTTTAAATTCAGGTTATATCCTAGCATGTATCCTATCATCAATAATTCCCTATAGAGTAAGGGGCTTTTTAGCACTTGTGCCATGCTGAAGGGGTAAACCAGATTATCAGAATTTTTGATGTGTGGACTGGCAAGAATCAAACTACTACTTCTCAAGTGTATTTAAAATTAGGAGAGAGAAAAAGAAAAATACAATTAGTTCTTGAAGTCGAAATTTGACTCCATACTGCCCCTTACAAATTGTGAGTACTATTGCAATACAGATAATACACTTCTTGACTTAATAGAGGGCATTTGTACACTAATCTTTTCATCCTGCGATGCACCAGAGATACGCCGCTTCAGAGCAGACTCAACTGCAGTTGTATAAGCGGCAAAATGTGCATCAGCATGCAGAAAATGGCGGCGGGGTGCTTTTTAACTAAAGCACCTCTGATGTGTTTTAGTTCAAAAGTGCACCACCACCATTTTCTCAGCGCTGACGTGCATTTCACCACTTATACAACTGTATGTGGTGCAGCGCCAGGTACTTCTCAAAACACCCACCGCTGTGGCATGTGCATGTGTACAAATGCCCAAAATGCCTTTTACCTAATTTCATAGATATTCAGGGTGGAAGGGACCTTGAAGGATCATCGAGTCCAGCCCCCTGCCCCAGGGGCAGGAAGTCTGCTGGGATTATAGGATCCCAGCAAGATAAACATCCAAATGTGTCTTGAAGGTGTTCAAAGTGGGTGCTTGAACCACCTCTGGCAGCAGTCTATTCCAAACCTTGAGGACTTGGACAGCAAAGAAGTTCTTCCTTACGTCCAGCCTGAATCGGTCGTGGCGGACATTGTGGCCGTTCGATCTTGTCATCCCTTGGGGCACTCTGGTGAACAGACGTTCCCCCAGGTCCTGGTGAGCACCCCTGATAAACTTATATGTGGCCACCAGATCACCCCCGAGCCTGCGCTTTTCCAGGCTGAAGTCCCATGGCTCTCAGCCTCTCATCATAAGGCCTGTTTTCCTGACCTCTGATCATGCGCATGGCTCTCCTCTGGACTCTCTCAAGCTTCTCCACATCCATTTTGAATTGTGGAGCCCAAAACTGGACACAGTACTCCAGCTGCGGCCTCACCAAGGCTGAGTACAGTGGGAGAATGACGTCCCGGGATTTGCTTGAGAAGCATCTATGGATACAAGCTAGCGTTTTGCTCGCGTTACGAGCCGCAGCATCAAATTGAAGACTAGTGTTCATCTTGTGGTCAATCATGGCCCCCAAGTCCCTTTCGTTTGTAGTGGTAACCAGCGTAGCACTGCCAAGCCTATAAGCATGCTGCAGGTTTTTCCTCCCAAGGTGGAGAACCTTGCATTTTTCGGTGTTAAACACCATCAGGTTCTCATCCACCCATTTACCGAGCCTGTCATGATCTGCCTGGATCACCCTCCTGTCCTCAGGTGTGGACGCTTTTCCCCAGAGTTTGGTGTCGTCGGCGAACTTGGCCAGCCCACTCCTGACACCAATGTTTACATCACTGATGATGTTAAAAAGTATAGGCCCTAGGACAGAGCCTTGAGGGACCCCACTGGTGACCGCGCACCACAACGATAGACTTCCATCAACCACCACGCTCTGGGTCCTACCACAGAGCCAATTCCCCAGCCAGCAGATCATAGTAAGGTCAAGGCTGCAGTTAGCCAGTTTTGCCAAGAGGTGATCATGGGATACTAAATCAAAGGCTTTTTTAAAGTCAAGATATACAACATCAATCTCTTCCCCCTTGTCCAGGTGATAGATCACCTGGTCGTAAAAGGAAATGAGATTGGTCAAGCAAGACCTACCTGCAACAAACCCATGCTGGGTATCCCTCAGGATATTGCTGTCAGCTAGCCTGTTAAGGATGGCCTTTTTGATAATCTTTTCCAAGACCTTCCCCAGGATAGAGGTCAGGCTGATGGGCCTGTAGTTTGCTGGATCTACTTTCCTCCCTTTCTTGAAGATAGGCATGACTTTGGCCTTCTTCCAGTCTTCGGGCACTTCACCAGAGTGCCAGGAGTTCTCAAAGATCTGTGCCAGGGACTGAGCTATGATGCTTGCCAGCTCCTTGAGTACCCTTGGGTGTAAACTGTTTGGGCCGGCTGACTTGAAGGTGTCCAGCCTGTCAAGGTGTTCCTTCACGAGGTCAGCTTCAATGGAGGGTAAGGAATCTCTTTCACCTGGGCATCCCTGACACACAGTGGGCAGGGGTGTCCTATGGGACTGGTGAAAAACTGACGCAAAGTACCCATTTAGCAAGTTTGCTTTTTCATGGACATCGGTTGTCAGTTGTCCCATCTGGTTTAGCAGGGGTCCAGTGTTGCCCTTGCTTTTCCTCCGGCTCCCCACATATCTCAAATAGGACTTTTTATTGTCCTTGATATTTGTAGCTAGCTGGAGTTCCATCGCAGCCTTGGCTTTCCTGGTTCGCTCCCTGCAGGTCTGGACTAGAGCAGAGAGAGTATTCCTCCTTGGTGGTGGTTCCAGTCCTCCATCCTTTGTAGGTCTTCTTTTTAAGACACAGGAGGTTCGCTAGTTCCCTGGAGAGCCAAGGGGGCTGCTGTGCCCTTTTGCTTCCTTTCCTTCCAGACGGGATAGACTTCGCTTGCGCATCCAGGATTGCTCCCTTGAGGAGCAACCACTCGTCCTGAACCCCCCTCCCCTAATACTGAAGAACAAATCCCTAATTCAGCAAAACCTGTTCCAGTGTATTTTTGGACATATGGGGTCCTTGTATTTGACTAACTTTTACACTGTTTTAGTCCCTCAAAATCAGTTCTTGAGCTGTTCCCACAGTAAAGTCTAAACTTTTTCTGGTAATTTTTTTTTATCTGCATGAATATGGCAAATTTATTGAGGCAGGTTTTTGAAGCCCTAAAAACTTAAATTGGCTATAAGAGGTAGATTTCCAGGATTCCTAATACAGCCATTCTAGAAAAATATGGGTTTTGCACTAGCAGAATAATATTTAGCTAATCATATTCTGCTATGCATCACTGCTGGTCCAGTGTATATTTTTAGAGACTTAACAGCTGCATTTTGCAGCTAAACTTTAGAATGTTTTATGGTGTAAAAGTAAAGTTTTCTTAGTAAATTATGAAAACCAACAAAGTTACTGTTCATCTCCTGAGAACTGATGCAAATATTTTACTACTACTAGAATACTTGAGTTGGAGCTAGCTATTGGACTCTAATCTTGATCTCTTTTAATGGTCAGGAAAGCTACTTTGGCCATTGTTTAAATATTTAAGTCTCGTCATCATGTAAGATACATGCATTTTTCCTTCAACATCATTCCCTCCTAACATTAACAGACCATGAATAACAAGTTTTCTAATATATCTAATTCAGGTAAAACAGAGTCCTTAGACAGCAAGGCAGAAAGTAAAATACAGTTAACAAGTCGTCAGTCATCACACCAGGGTACTTTATCAGGTAGCAAGGAAATTGCTGCTGCCTCTGACACAGAAAATTTCTCCCAGGAATGTGGTGAGCTACTTGTGTGCTGATTGCTGTGTCTATTTTCCATCAATGATGCTCCAAAATCAGTGGCATGTGGCATGAACTTCTTTGTTTTATGAATAAGACCCATTTTACGTGGTATTACCCTCTCTTGAATAAAAAAATTTTGCACTTAAATTTACAAACTATAGAAAAAGTAAAACTGTGATAAATAATTTGCACTCAGATGCTTTGAGGGAAAAGGTTTGTATTCATATTTCTTACTATGTATCAGTTTCTGAAGCAAGCTAATTATTCCCTTCATGTTTTTTAAATTCATATTAGATATTAAACATGGTCTGCTTCATAGGACAGGGAAATACTGCAGTTTTCTTGCCTTCTGTTCAGGCTACTAAGTAGATGAAAAATGTACAGTTTTGAAAAATATATGGCTCCACCTACCAGAAAACAAGACGGTAGAACTGTCAGTTACTTGCATCTAAGCTCTAATTCGGACAGGAAACCTGTACAGAAGAAAGGTGGGGAGGGAGGATGAGAGAGAGAATGAAAATATGATTACATCAAAAAAATATAAGACCACAAAGGTTACAAAACAAGTTCCCAAAAGTTAGGAAATCTGAAATTCAGGTTGCCTGTAAAGCAGTGATTCTCAACCAGTGTAACATGGCACCCTGGGGTGCCTTGAGCGTCTTTCGGGGGTTTTGTGCATCCAGGTAGCACACAATGTCTGCACTATTAGATGTGCAAACTTGATTCACAAGATAAACCCAGAGATTTTCAATATTTTGAATAGAAATCCATAGATGCGGTATTTCTGAGTTCTTGGCAACAGAGTGAAAACTACGAGACCTGCATTTTCCAAGGGGTGCTGTGATGACTAAAAAAGAAGTTAGCAAGAGAATAGCAAAGTAACACAGTTCCACAATGGGCTCAATCAGGGGCCCCAACCAAGATCCAGGCATCTTTTTGCCAGCTATTGTGCCAAACGCACAGAAAAACATTGAAGTCTCATTCCTGCCTTGAGACTACTCAACAGAGCACCAATTGTGATAGTGATCTTGAGTAATGCAGATGTGTATTAAACATGCAGTTAGCTGGATTAAAACCTGTTTGGCCAAGGGTCACAAATAATTGTTGGCCTTGAAACTTCTTTTATGCAAAGCTTAAACAGGCAATATGCTTTTCACATTTGTAGTATAAACAAATTAAAATCAAGCTGTACAGTTAAATATAATCAGTTTCTAAACCAAATGGTGCAGAAGTGTGCCATTGATCATGCTTGTCAAGTAAACCTTCTGAACTGCAAGATTAAAGTGAACATAATATCCAAAAAAATCATTCTCACAATAACTTTGATTTTGGCAAGTTGCTGAATATCACTAACATAAGTGAATAATCATAAAGGGCATTTATACATGTGCTCCAAGAATTGGAAAGGGCACTTTAATTAGAGTAGCTCCAGGAGCCTCTCTAATTAAAGCACCCAGAGTGTATCAGCGTCCCTGCCCTGAAAAATGGTGGTGGGGGCGCTTTAACTAAAGCTTATTGAATGAGTTTTAAACTGCCCCTGCTGCCATTTTTCAGCATGGGGACACTGATGCACATGACGCTCAAGTCTGCTGAAGCGCAGTAATTACCACACTCCAGCAGACTCGATTAATCAAATCAAGTTTGCTCTGATTCACTGTAATTACAGTGCATTGGAGCAGACTCACTGCACATGTATAGATGCCTAAAAGGTTTCATTTGAGAGAGGATTTGTTTTCCTGATGTTTCAACAGTAATGAAGGTGTGTAAAGATTTGCAGTGTAGATGAATGTTAGTTGTGCTTTAAAAGAAACCTTTATTTTTTAACCACTGGCTTCGTTAAAGTAAATGTATTCTTCATTGATGCCTGTCTGATATTACTTAAAAAGCCAAAATCCATTTTCATTGTGCATATGAGAAGACAAATGCCAGGTTAAAGACATTTTTAAATAAACACAGGACAGTTTAACAGTAACTATATTTTCTTAAATGCATTTTTATATAATTATATGACAATGTATACAAATTATTGAAATTATATACATTGTTTCTGTTTTTTGAAAAAATATTTTCCATAGAATTCCAGGTATCCTTAAAGAAAATAAAACTTTTCAGCTAAGGAATTGCTAGTTTAAATCCTGAGTTCTTGGAATCCTGCTCCAGATAATAAAAATATTTTTGCCTGCATATGTCTGTGGGCTTATTGTCACTCATTATATAATTGTATTTACTAAGGATAAGGATTAGTATATGAAATGTAGTTTAACTTTGAATTTAAATGTATCACATTTTTACCCCCAATTTTTAACCAGAATTTGTGGTTTTGTTTAAAAATTGTATATTAATAGTTTCATTTATTAATAATCCTTTAATTTAAATTCTAGAATTCTTCAGTTTCTGAAGATAAAATATTAAATTTATCTCCTTACATTTTTTCAATGTAGCACCCCCAGTTCCTTCAGAAGAAATGGATAAGCATCGTCGTCGATTTAATATGAGAATGCTAGTGCCAGGAAGGCCAGTAAAAGATAGCATTGTACCTCCACCTGTGCCTGTAGAAAGACCATCTTACAAAGAAAAATTCATTCCTCCAGAACTCAGTATGTGGGACTATTTTATGGCAAAGGTAAAGTGTTTTGTGTGTTGAACATGATGCTATCAAAAGAATCTCTCATTTTAGCAGTATAAATACATATTTGATGTAGAAAGTTTTCCTTTTTTCCCTCTTTTTTTAGGTTTTAAAGAAGAAAAATAACATTGAAGAAGTTTTCTTTCATTAAAGTTTCTTACAGCATCCTTTAATGAATACATATGCAGGTTGCTGTCTCCACAGAAAGCTGAAAAGGCTACAAATGCACCATATAACTTCCAAAACATCTATCTTCATTCCTATCCTATCCTATTCCTATCTCACTTTAAAATAGTGGAGATGACCTTTTTTTTTCTTTCTAATGCTTGTTTTTCTGTGGAACTGTTTTATCAGATTAACATATCAAGCTGCTTAACCACTAAGGGCAGGTGTGCCTGGTAAAATGTAGGGCTTGCACAGGTACCTGAGCTACTTCAGGGACTGAAAGAAGTACAGTTTTCATGGCACTTCACCTGGGCTAATTAACTCTCTTGAGATGAACCTCTTTGGAAATGCCCCTGGTACCTCTACACGGCACCACATTGTGCTTTCTAGACATACCACTCAGTATACATACCCTGAGTAGTAAAAGCAGGTTGATATACATCTCTGTCAGTATCTAAATTGTAAGGCAGATATTAAAATACTGACAGCTATTGACAGCTATTTTTATAACAGATTTTATCTTAATTTGCAGCCATTTCTTCCTTTATCAGACAGTGGTTTTATATATGATTCAGATGAAAGCATTCATAGTGAGGAAGAAGATGAAGATGCTTTCCTTTCTGATGCACAGATCCAGGAACACAAAGATGCTAATGCTTACAGGTTAGTTGAAATGACACTTTAGTTAACAAAAAATCCATGTTACAGGTTTTTTGTCTCTTTAAAAGAAGATATAAGGCTTCTTTTCTGAAATTAGAAACTATTTATATCCAATACCTATATGGAAACAGTATTAAAAGGGGGTAGTTGTAAAGGCCTTAGATCAGCATTTGGCCTGAAAAGTTTTAACTACTGGATTAGAAGTTGTATTAACTTATACCTTAGTATTGAAATTTCAGGTAATGGAGTTGTGTCTTTTTTGCCATGCATTTTCACTTGTAACCTTGATCTGGCATGGAGACAGTCATTATGGGTTCCCCTGATGCTAGTGCTAGAGTCCTACTGGATTAGAGTCCTACTGGAAGTATGATTTTTATTTAATGTATTGAATTAATTTATGTATGGGATCAAGTAGGAAATTTAAAAAGGAAAAAGTTGCTAGAAAAAATGATACAAGAGCATAGGTTGTAAGCATTATGAAAATTAAAGAAAATAAAAAGTCCTTCTTTCTAAATTGTATAAATCTGTCTTTTTAAATCTAATAAGCAGTATGCATAGTTACTGTATTCTATTATATAGAGACATTTATATCGAGTCTTATTTTGTGAACACCATATCCACTACATGGCTTCTTCAAATTTATAGAAAGCTTTGTAAGTTGCATTGTAATTGGTAGTTTGGGAGCTCCCATTTAATTCCTGACCTTGCAGAGGTCCCATTCTTAAACACAATGAGAACTTTCTAGGTTTTCTCTTCTAGAGAGGTGGAGTACCATGATCTGGGGTTTGGAAAAGAGAGAGATCCTCTGGTTGCCAGTAAGGAACTCCCAGAGAGAGAGACTTAAAACAAATATTTAGAGCTTTTACTCTCCATCGTTGTTAATTTTCAAAGCCCTCTAAGCACTCTTCATTGTGTTTGTAAATTCTTGCCTTATCTACATATGCGGTTTGGTGGCACAAGCTATGACTGAATTACCATTGAAACCATTCTTTTCATGCAGCTGGGCTCTCTTACATTTGGCAATGGTAAAACTAGCTCTGCACAACATTAAGTCCTTTTTTCCCGTTGTTGGTTTGGAATTCTCTGGTGAGTTAAATTTTGCCTTACATTTTGTATTTCTCTATACTTTCTGTTAACAAAGATCATTGTCCTACACAATGTATAAATTTGTCCTTATGCGTAAGTTTTAACTTTGCAGTTGGTAACAAGTAGAAGTGTATATTTTATTTCAGAGGTTTTTAATGCATCTATTTAGTAAGAGATTGCATTTCTCTTTATGTTCTGCTAAAGTACATAAAACACATATACTTATGTTTGTTTAATTGTCAGCAATGGCATTCTAATTTTTTTTGTATCTGAACAAATTCTACTGTGGGTTGCTAAATACAAGGAAGAAAATAATTCTTTTTAATATTATCTTTGTACTTCTCCATAACCTTCACTTACTTGCATTGGAATTAAAAGATGTTTTACACTGCTTTTCAGATTTGCCTGTTACATCGCCATTGGGTATTGCTGTGATTAAAAATTTGGAAAACTGGGAACAGTTCCTTCAGGAGAGAATGGACCAGTTTGAAGGCCCACCACCAAACTACATCAATACCTATCCCACTGACCTTGCGGTAGGAGCTGGACCAGCTATACTGCGCAACAAAGCAATGCTTGAGCCTGAAAACACACCTTTCAAGTAAGAGCTACTAGGGAAGACTTATTTTGCAGCCTTTAGTATAACATTAATGAAGAAACAGTTGTGGTTATGCAAGACATTTTTAATTCTATTAAAGGAAGTTGTCAACATGGCTAAGCCAAACAATCTTACTGCAAAAGTCTTCCAATTGCACCTTCATTCATTTAGCACTATATCAGACTTATTTTTAAGGATGATGTATGTTTAATTTTTACAGATGTTATCTTTAAAAAGACAAAGACAACTTTCATTTATTAGTGACAGACACTAATAAGTTAGGGAAGGGAAAGAAGAAGAAGAAGAAAAAGAAAAAACTGAAAGGTCAGAATTAAAAAAATTATAACGCCAATGAATTACAAGACAGAGAAGAATTAGAATTGAGGTCCATTGGAACTATATTAGCTTCATGTAATGCCTTGATCTTGCAAGCTCCTACTTCAGCGGAAGTCCATGGCAGATCTGAGCCAAAATGAATTTAAAAATAGTTTGAGAATTTTGCGGAGACTGCATGAGATCTATGCTGTCATACTACTTGGGATCTGTATGGCTGATGCTGCCATAAGACTTCAGTTCAGTGTCCTTTCTAATGCTATAAACATGCATTCCCGTTTGTATAGCATCTGTTTAAAATCTGTAGCATTCACTTCATTTGGAGTCGCATGTGAGCTAATTAAAATCCTGAAAAGGTATTTTGTGTTCTGGGAGAAAAGCATAAAACTATTCTATGGGTTTATTTGTGCGATCCTGATGTTATAACTAGGCCTGTGCAAAGCAGCTAGTATTCACTTCGGATTTGGCCAATTCAGGGGACAGTGATTCGAATCACTGTCCCAAATCAATTCAGCCGAATCTGATTTGGAGATTAGGCTGGTGCCAAATCGGCCAAATCTCTGAATCAAACAGGCCCCATCCCCCGCCTGCTCTCTAAGCCCTGTCAATGGCTGCCCCGCCCAGCCTCAGTATCCCAGCTCTTTCTTTCTTTCTTTCGTTTTTTTTTTTTTTTTTTTTTTTTTTGAGTCAGGGGGGTGCTCAAGGGGACTGGGTGCGCAGGCAGAGGATGGGGCCTGGCGGGGGTCCCCCCATGGCCCCCTCCTTCAGCCTTCCCCTCTGCCCCTACTTACTGGCATAGAGTCTGGGTCCAGCTCTCTACGGCAGCAAGTGGGGACTGCCCGAATCTCCAAATCGAGCTCTCCGAATCTTTTCCGACTTGATTCATAGAGCTTCGAATCGATTTGGACCTTTTTATTGGTGTCCCAATTCAATTTGGATTCAGAGATTAAGCCGCCGAATCAGGCCAAATCTCCTCTAAATCGAATCAGCACCCAAAGCTTTGCATAGCTCTAGCTATTAGCTGAGTGTGCAGGGGGGCTGCAATCCTGTGGGATGCTCCATCCGCCCCACCATCTCAGTATTCACGAGCCTATAAAGCTGTGCCTATGTCCGAATCGTGGAATCTTTCCAAAATGATTCGGAGGCTTCCAGTTCAATTCAGAGAGATTAAAGGGTCTCCTGATTCGATTTAGATTTGGAGGTTCAGGCCAACAAATCTCCATCAAATCGAATCAGCGACTGAAGCTTCGCACAGCACTACTATCTATAACTGCAATATGAGATTGATTCTTAGAACTCAGAACTTTGGTAAATGTGAATCAGGCAAATCAAGTTATTGCCTCAGTCCTTTAGAATTCACTAATGCTCTGTCATGTAATTTTAAAAAAAAACAAACAGATTTGTCTTGGATTGCATACAAAGCCTGCAGATCATGACTTTGTTTCACTTTGAATTGTGTTTTAAATTGATTTGGATTCAATTTTCTTTTATCCAAGTTTTCTATGTGAAAATGCTTTTTTTTTTTTTTTCTTTCAGATCAAAAGATTATTCAGCACTTCCAGCTAAGAGATTATGGCATTTTCTTGTGAAACAAGAGCTTCTTCAAGAGACCTTCATTAGATATATATTCACTAAGAAAAGAAAGCAAAGTGAGGTAAAAAAAAGGAAATAATAATAGAGTTTGAAGTTTTTTAAAACCAACTTTCCTTGATCTTTTAAATATCTCTTATTTTTATTTCTCTTTTTTCATTTTGGTTGGCATTTCAACTTTCACTTCAGCAGTGTTTTTAAATCTGAATGATAGCATGCTATTTATTGAAGTATAACCCAAACTGAAATAAAGGTTTGTAACAAGGCATAAGTCGGCTTACAAATAATCAATATATTTAAACACATTTTAACTTTCTAAATGAATAATGTATAGGTTAACAGGAAACGCTCTCTGTGGCTTCATATAACACATACATTTAAATCAGAAACTGCTTTATTTAAATGTGCGCATATGTATATATGCATGTGTAATATATACATATACCAAATAATATTATATAATAATATATAATATGGGTTTTATGAGCAGTACAATAGTTACAACTGAAATGAGTTGTAATTAAAATTAAACTCTTGATATATAACTAAAAATCAAAACAAGTACACTATTTATCTTAAATTCCTGTAAGTCTGGAGTTTGTGTGTGTATTGCTCCTGTTTATTTGCTTATACCATACATTCTGTGTTCATCTAGGAGGCATTACATTTTAACTGAGTTCGTTTAGATTCCTGTCGTAGTTTCTGTGCCTTTTTATAAGAAGTTACAAATACATTTGTCATCACTTACTGACAGGGTGGCCTTTTTAAATCTAGTGTGGAATGTTTCATTCTTTTTTTTATATTTGTTTGTGCATGTGTGTTGTGTTGGTGACTGTGTGGTGTTATGTAGTCTGTAGAAGATCGTGCGGAGCAGGTCAAACAAAACTGCGTAGCAGAAGATGACAAAAGCAAGGTAGTACCGCTTCTCCCAAACCTTTAGCACATTCTTAAAAGTTCTGTGGGACTGGCTTTTCTTTCTCTAATATGACTAACAGAAGTTCTGTGTTCTGTGTAGTCTCTGTGCAACAGGCTTAACCAGGGCATTAATTTTGGATGTTCCATAACTGGGATGTGAGCAAACACCTTGTAAATTCTGTTACACATGCATTTATGCTTTGATTTTCAAACACACAAACCTTCTGGCTTTTAGAACAAAGAAGACAAGATGTCTAAAGTTTAGCTTCCTAACCAGTACTGAGGCCACTGAACTTTTTTGCATGACTTACAGACTTTGCAGTCTGTACATAACACTACGTAAGCAATTTACCTATCAATTAAAACTCACTGATGAATATTTTGTAGGTTGAAGCAGATCTCGGCTACCCAGGGGGGAAAGCAAAAATCATTCACAAAGAGTCTGATATGATAATGGCATTTGCTGTAAATAAGGTAAAAGCCATAAACATTATTACTAATAGATATAATACATTGTTGTTTAATCTAAAATTTAAACTACAATGAACGGTCTATTTGTACTGCATAGGCAAACAACAATGAAATTGTTTTAGCGTCCACACATGATGTACAAGAGCTTGATATTTCAGCTCTACTGGCTGCTCAGTCATTTATATGGATTGGGGAGGAATACGACAGAGAATCCAAGAGGTGAGTTTTTCTTTCTTTGCAATTATATTAAAGTAATGTTTCACTTTGAAATTACACACTGGTACCCGTAGTCCAGAAGGTTCATGTTCTTTTTATTATTGCTGCTATATATTCTTCATCCATGAATCTCACAGTACTTGACAAAGGTGTAGGAGTGTTTAGCATGTGTCCTATTACAGCCACATATTCCTGCAAAAACCCAACTGAACTAAGTTACTATAAATTTAACTTGGTAAGAATCAGGTATGGCCATTCATTTTTGCCTGGTCCTATAATAAAGTGCAGAAATTATTAATTGACACTCCTCCTGTTGCCGTTTTAACTCCCAGAATTTTAGCAAAGCATTAAGCAGGTACTATTGTAAACAGCACGGTATTTCAGTTCAAAAGAATAACACTGCTATCTTTTTACAGTTCAGATGACATTGACTTCCGTGGGTCTACCACAACACTCACTCAGTCTACTGCATCATCTTTTGGAGTGAGTCAGATTCAGCCATCTTCGTCTATGCCCTGGTTAGGCAGTGGACAAACGAGCACTGGAGCTGGTGTAGTATGTATTTCATTTTTTATGATATTGTTAATATTTAATACCAAGGCCAACAATATTAGAAGCATCCTTTCAGTGCCTTTCATGAGAGGGCCATAAATACTATGAGCTGGCAAAAGATGCTCAACCAATTAAATATTTTCCCTTACATTAATAATTTTGTACAGGCACAAAAATCTTATTTTTTTATTAAACATTGAATAAGAAAAAATATGGAATCCTTTCCAACCCCCTACTGAAAAAGAACTTGTGAAATTATTTTTAGAACAATTACCTGAATCTGCCATGTTCCTAAATTTAAATTTTGAAGTCTAAAATAATATTAGAAGTATGTTGTTTTTCTCTGGGAGCTTTTGCTTTCTGTTCCTTAATAAGACCTCTAATTTTTTGGTGTTTTTTTTTTTTCCCTTCTTAAGGAAAATACCATTTTAAACTCTTGTTTTCAGGTACTAGATTAGAAGCATGTCCTTAAGTACTCTTTTAAGTCCCATTGACTTCACTGGGACATTAGTACATACTTTAATGCTGCTCTAAAAAAAGGAGTCCTTTTCTAAACTGAGGTGCTTAGTTACTGTGTTGCACCTGAAACTAATTAGATAAGAACATGATGTTCAGTCTCTAAGGTTGGGGACCCAAAGGCAGTCCATTTGTCATACAGTAGCCTTTTATATTTTCAAAATTAATCCAAACACTGTTTGATTTTAGAAGTTTAGAAATTGAATGTCCCATTTTTCTTTTCTATGAAGCTCATTAAAAGAAATCTGAATAATGTTAAGAGAATGGCTTCACATCCAGTCCATCAATATTGTAAGTAAATTGCTATTTATCATGTTAAATATTCTTCATCAAATGGACAAACAGTAAATCTTACAATGTTCTCCTGTTGATTTGATAATCGCCTACATATTTCTTCCTTTCTTTACTGCACCCCTCTCTTCCCTCCCCCCCACCCCCACCCCAGATCTTACAGGAGCCCAAGATGGCAGTGTTCGAATGTTTGAGTGGACGAGACCACAGCAACTGGTATGCTTTCGGCAAGCTGGCAATGCAAGGGTTACTAGAATGTATTTCAATTCCCAAGGCAACAAGGTTGGTAACCTCAAAGTATTTTTTAAAATAAATATTTAATGATGCTGTAAACTAAGCCAGCACAAGAAGGACTAGAATACAGCAGAATATAAAACCAGGAATATAGTTTGGCAAACACAGGGTACAGGAATTCACCCGGGGGGGGGCAGGTTTTCATTCAGTACAACTGTTTTGTGCATCTGCTTCTATGCCACAATAAACTGCCCCAATTTAATTCCTATTATACATACATGCTATATCTGTCTGTCCATATCCAGCAGTCCGTTAAAGCTACATATGAACAGTCAACCTAAAACACCAGTCAAATACATCCTTAATCTATATTGAATGAAATACTTTCAGTTTTCATAGTAATGACCATTGTGCAGACTCTAAGGCCAGATTCTAGTCCACTAGAATCCATTAGGCATGCAAGTGGGACTTCGGCTCCTATATGCAGTTCTATTCCACCTGCTCAAGTCCTACAGAAGGTGGGTGGGTCCTTTTCCTTGTCATTACTTTTTGTGACTCATGTCTTAACGACAATATGATGTGTTACAAAAGTTAGATGTGTTAATAAATGTTTGGGGGAGAACAGAAGCACACTTCCAAGTCCACTTACATGTTTAATAGGTTGGATTGGATCTGGTCCTATAACCTTTATGACATGTCCTATAAACTTAATACCATGAATAATCTACATCCGGTAGTAATAGGAGGCAGACAGGCTCTTATTTTGATAGCTAAAGCCTTGTTGTTTGTGGGATAGATTATGAACTACCTACTCTCAATGGTGAGCACCCAAATATCAAAATGAATCAAAGGTTCACATTTTGCCCCAATCAGGAGTTTGAAGAAGATCAAAGCTGCAAACAGCCACAGCTTCCCTGGTTACATATATTATAGAACAAATGTACACTGTTACACAGCCTCTCTCTTCATTGTACTATACATATAACGTCTGTTCAGGAATTTTAGCTGTTATTTATACCTCATAGTAGTTAGTCATGCTCAACAGAGATGATATTCCATCCTGCAGTTTAAGCAGAAAGAGATGTTAGCACTTGTATTTAACTATCCCACTAATAGATCCCACGAGGATATTTTTTAGGAGAATGGCATAAATAGTGTACTGGATTTACATTTTTCTTGCTCTCTCATGTAATATTAGTAGTCAAGCGCATTTTGCAAAGTGTAGTCTCTCCACAGAAAAGCTGTAGTCCAATATATATATTCTTGCAAGGTATTGATTTGTAGAAACTTTGAGAAACATCTAGGTTTTGACTTATTTACAGTGCTCCACTTGAGAAAGGACACTGTTGTGCGGGCCGGGAGTGGTCCGAGGCTTTCGGGGGCGCACGGCGGGCTGTGGCCGGGAGGCCGCCCCCGGAG